TTTTTTAAAAAACAACCATTTGTCACTTATTCTTTAAAGTACACACTACCTTATTATTATTATTATTAAACATATTTAAAAGTTACTTTAAACATTACTGATATTGTGATAGTGGTAACATAAAATTCAACAGGGTTACATTTATTAAAGTTTTGAGATATCTTGTTTTGATTAACAGTACATGCTGCTCTACCCAATTAAATTGCTGTTTGTTCCAGGAATTTTTGTTTGTTTTTTTAAGGTATTACATGTGTACATACATACCTTACCAATCCCCACCCCCACCCCTACATGCCCTCCCTCCCCATACCCTCCCTCCCCAGAGTTTTTCATCCATTGGTTATGCTTATATGTTTGCATACAAGTCCTTTGGTTGATCTCTTATCTCCTCCATATCACACTACCTTCTTAAGCAGAGAAGAAACCAAACAGGAATAGCATACTTGGGAAACTTTCCCATCGAGTAAAACTGTTTGATGAGTAAAAACATACTCATGATTAAGATGCAGGACTGAGTTTCACATTCACCATCCTGTTTGGTACTCACTCACCTTGACCCTGCAAGGGAGTGTCCCATTTTAGACATGAGGAAAGTGAAGCTCTGTGGGGTTGGTTTGCCCAACATTAAATGGTGAAAAAAACCTAGGTCTCCACACCCAATCCAGAGAGCAGCGAGTGAAGAGGTTCCCACAACTCCTACCCCACCTCCCTCCCTTTCAGTCCTTTCTCTCTTTAAGTTGTTACTCGGCAGTCAGCAGCAGAGGTGAATCCCACACACCACAGCTCCCGGCCTCTGCCAGAGGACCACTGGTACACACTGCTGCTCTACCCAAATACCCCAGCTCTTCGCAAACCACCAGACTACATAAAATGCTGTCTCGCCCTGGCATTCCGTCCTCCTCAGCTCGATCATGACCCACCACCTCACCTGGATGCTTCACAGGAACCAAAAGAGCCCGAAAGCCTGGCACACCTTTGTTCAGACTGCTTCACATCCTACAAAGCCCTCCCTCCTACTCCTCAGAATCAACCAGACACTTTCCACATTCACATGCCTGGACCCCACTGCAGGCCTAGATAACCAAAATGCCCTGGCCACGCATGTGCTTTATGAGGTCACTCCATTACCCAAAACAAGGCAAAACTTCCCACTCACTATACCCAATGCAAACCCAGGGCCATTTATGACCACTCCCATCTCTGAATCCAGAAGCAATTACCATCTGTACCACCCTGCTGCCAATTAATGCTAAAGCCTACTGTTATTTGTAGTTTTCTATAATTGTCCTGACTCCTACATTGTATGTTTCTTGAGTGCAAGAATTGAGTCTCTTTCTTCACAGAGCATGGCACTTCGTACACAGAAGCCTTTTTTAAAACAAGCATAGCAATTTTATTTTTCTCCTAAGTTTGGAAGCACAGCAGGAAAAATGGGAAGCCTCACTCAGTGCCACCCTTGATTCACTAAGAATTAAGGAGTCCCCAACAAAGCCCTAGCATACCACAGGAACAGCCACTGCAGCTGGGGCTCCACTCCCTGTATTCATCGGAAACCATGGATGAGTCAGGCCACAGGCAATAGAGCAGACACATACACAGGCAATCAGTCCTCCCATTGTAAGCACTTGAGAAAATCAATGAATGGGGATGAACAGCAAAAATATTTTCACCAGTCAATGATCATAAGCAAAAAATGGTTTTCACTAGACAAAAAATGCTATGACTAAGAGTAAGACGTTAAATATCTGCTTATTGAGGATATTTTTGGTATTAAGTCACACCACTCACTGTCAGAAAAACTGATTTGTTTAACCCAAAGAGAAAACAGCTCAAATATAATGCCAAAAAATTAGCGTTTCTCTCCGCACCCCCCCCCCGCCCCCCTACACACACACACACACACACACACACACACACACACACACACACCACAAAATGCTTACTGCAGAGAAAGCCTCAGTGATTTGGGATCTTTCTTTCTCTTATCCTTCTTTTCCCTTCTTTGGTTTAGTTGGTGTTTATACAAAGCCATAAACATGATCTTTCCACATTTTCTACTAGATTGAGCAGGAGTTTGTCATGCATGTCACCTAGCAACCTAAACACCACTCTACAGATTCCCAGATTCCCAATTCTTCATACAAAATGTATCTTTGTTCTATTAAACAATAGGGATAAGAAAGAGATAAAAAATATAAAAAATAAAAGGTGAAATTGGTGTTAATATGTATTGCTTCATACTTATTTTAAATGAGGTGGGAGAAATAAAGAAATTTCTTTGTAACCATTACCTGACAATTTAAGTCTTAAATTAAGTCTAGGTCTATTTGTACTTTTTTCTCTTAAATCAGTGGTTCTCAATCTTTCTAATGCCGTGACCCTTTAATACATACAGTTCCTCATGTTGTGGTGACCCCCCAACCATAAAATTATTTTTGTTGCTACTTCATAACTGTAATTTTGCTACTGTTAATGAATCGTAATGTAAATATCTGAATTTTCCAATGGTCTTGGGCTCTACAGCACTCGACCCACATGTTGAGAACTAACTGCTAGCAGGGTAGCCTAAGACCATCGGAAAACACAGATATTTACGTTATGATTCATAACTCTAGTAAAATTACAGTTATGAAGTAGCAACGAAAATAATTTTATGGTTGGGATCACCACAACATTAGACACTGTATGTATTAAAGGGTCGGGGCATTAGAAAGGTTGAGAATCACTGATTTGAGAGAAATACAAATAGACCTAGAAGATCCTCAGGCTCTTGAAACATCTGAGAGTCAAAGAGTCTGATAATCCAATGGCTGAACTTCATATACTACAAAGCTCACCAGAAAATTCACCTTCTGAAATATGAGTTGCACTTAAAGAGCATTTAAATAATTTTGCAAACCCCTGAATCATCTGGCTCCTCACTCTCATTTTATCCAACTCCAATACTACCATCACCCTGAGAATTACCCTTACTTCCTCCCCAATCTGGCAATCTACTTTCCCTCAAAACTCAGCCCATATGCCCCTTCCCTTTGGGGTGAGTTCCCAGACTCCCTTAAGATAACTGCACTTACTTTTCCAGACTCCTAAGTCACTGTGAAATAACCACCGGTACTATTATTTTTAAGGGTCCACCAAGGCCTCCCAACTCCTTTTCTCCCCACTGCACAACACACCAGTTCACTCCACTGCCTCCTCCCCATGGAGGGCCATGGAGACTCTGGTCCTAGACTCTTACAGCCCAATTTCCACAAAGCAGCTAGTGGGTCCCCTAAACATACAGTACCCAGAACAATGCCTTGAACAGACTAGTACAGCAGATGCTTAAAAATTTCCGTGGAATGAACAAATGACTCAAACAACTGCATCTGCATCTCCCAGACTATTCAACCAATGTGTATTGTACACATAATGAAATGTGAATCATTTTAAGCATATAAATTGTTAATCATATAAATAATTTAAGCATGTAAATTACAAGTATGTAAGCAAGAAAATGTGGACCACCTTTCCCTATTCAGGAAACGAAGCACACCGCAAAGTATATATTAATGTATTTCTCTTTCCTTTCAGGATTCATTTTGTTGGATGATTAGTGCTTTATAAAAGTTAAATCATAAACTGTCACTCACAAACAATCCTTTAAAATACTAAATGTAGGTATTGTTTTATCTGCTGTGCTACCCATCACACCACCACCACTCCCCCTCCATTGGCGTTGCAAAATAAGCAGGTGCCTACTTTCTGCTAAATTTATTTGACTTTCAGTGAGAGTTCAATTAACTGTAAGGAACATTTTAGAATTGTTAGTCAACATGTGTGTCAGGTTCTAAACGTCTCCAAGATTACCTTTAAAAAGCCAAACTTAAGCTATTTTTCCAATATATACTAAAAGAAAAAAAAATATAAAAAGGTGTGAGTTTTGTTTTGTTTTTTCGAGAAAATTAGGGGATGCCACCTGGAGCACCCCATACACACTCAGGCTGATAAAGCTATCGTCCCCCTCACCTGCTGCCCCAAATCTCACAGGAGCCATCACTATCGGGAATAAATGGGAAATTTTACATATGAATATGCTTTCTATCACACATTACTGCAAAGAAAATACCCTCAGTTGCTTGAGAGAAAACTTCGGTGGCTGGCCTGTTGTCAGGCACAGCAGATAAAACAATTTAACAAAATGCCTTTTCACTTCTGACACATTGTACAGGAATGCAGTGAAGTGGGGACAATGTTATCATTCCACCAGAAAAAGGGAAACCTACTCAACTCCGAAATCACAGGCCCCGCGGCCTCGACACCACATGAAGCCAGTCCACTCGGTCCGCGCTGAGGCCTCGGAGGAAAACTTTTCATCCCAGGCTCGGGCTTCACCAGGCAGCCCTGCTCCCGGGCCCCCGCGGCTCCGGCCCGGGCCCCGCTGCCCGCCAGCTGGCGGAGGGGAGCGCCCCGCGCCCGCCCCCCTCGGCCGGCGGCCCCCGCTGCCCGCGGGGCCATCGCGCGGGCGGGAGGTTCGCTCGGCGCCGAGGTCCTTCCCCGACGGACGCGGGGAGTGGAGGCAGCAGACACGCTCCGGCGGGATGGATAAGGAAACTCTCCTTCGGACCAAAAGTTGCCTGTCCCAGCTCCGCCGAGGCCTGGGGGCGGGAGAGGCCTGGGGCTGGATTTCCACCGCGGCAGGCTGTCGGGGAGAGGCCGGGGTCCGACGCCGCCGCTCCGGCCGCTCCCGGGGCGCCGGGCACCAGCCGCCCCGCCGCCGGCCCTCGGGGGACAGGCGCCCGGCGGCCGGCCCGGGGCGCGGGTCCCGCGCGGCCGCAGGGACGGCGCTCCGACCCGGCCACGCGGGGACTCCGGCCGGCAGCCCGGGGCCGGGGGCGCCGGAGGCCGCGCGGCGCCGCGCGCTCCCTCTCCCCGCCTCCCCGCTCCCTCCGCCTTTCCCCAGGAAGCGCCATATTGATCCCGGCGCCGCGCCGCCCGCCTCCCGCGCCCCGGCCCCTCACCTTGGCGATGGCCTTGCGGTAGCGGGTCACTGCCTGCTGGATGAGGCTGGACACTTTCATGCGGCCGTCTCCGCAGGGCACGACGACGCGGGTCCTCCCGAAGCACACGGTCACTTTCATGCCGCCGCCGCCGGGGCCGGCCCGCGCCCGCGCCCCTCGCTGACGGCGGCGAGCGGCCCTGGCCGGGGGCGGGCGGCGGGCGCGTGGCTGCGGGGCGCGGGCAGCGACGCGGAGGAGCCGCTCGGCTCACATGCCCGGCGCGGCGCCCTCGCCCCCGGGGCCCGTCCCGCCTGTCCCCGCGGCGCCCGCGGTCCGGCCACCTGTTCGGCGTCTCGCGCGCTCGGCGGCGGCGGCCTGGGCTTGGCGGCGCTCGGGCTCGGGCTCGGGCTCCGGCGGCGGGGGAGGGGACGGCGGTGACGGGAGGGAGGGAGAGAGGGAGGGATAGAAGGAAGGAGGGAGGGACTGAGAGGGGGAGGAGCCGCGGCACACAACACCGCGCACGTGCGGCGGGAGGCGGTGGCTCCCCGCGAGAGGCGGAGCGCGCCCGGGACCCCGCCGCGGGAGCCGGGCTCCGCGTCCCGGCCCCCGCCAGCCCGGCGCGCGGCGGGCTGCGCTCGCCCCACCCCAGCCCCCCTCCGAGGCGCCCGCGTCTCTCCGGAGCAACCCCTCCCCTTCTTTCTTTGTCGCTTTAATCCCCTTTCTTGGACTGAGGGGTACCGGGGATTTCGCTTCCAGAGTGAGAGACTTACTCCTGGCGCCTAGATCTTTGGAGAGGAGCGGTCTCCGCCTTCTGGGGAAGGTGGGACGGGGCTGGGCCGGCGGAACGCACAGCCTGGCAGGGTTTGGCACCGGCTCTCGCTGGGCTGCTGGGCCTAGCAGACCACATTATACTTGAAAGTAAAAATTAATCGTCTGCTCTGGAGAGAGGCTGGTGAAGCTTTGACTCGATCTGGCCTTTCTCTTGAGGGCCACTATTAACCTTCAAGTTTCCTGTGTGACCTCGTGGTGAACCAACCCACTTACCCTAACGCAAACTTATGACCAAATTTCAGAATGCGGTGGGGGGGATTTGGAAGGGATGATGCTGGAGCACTTAATGTGATGCTGACCCTCCCTTCACCCCCCCACCACCACCCCGGCGAAAATGGACTCTAGTGCCTTGGTGCTGGTGGGACCTGAGTCATTTCAAAAGAATGTGGGCCAAGTCAAGAAAAGTGATTGACGTTCATCTCTGCCTTAGCTGTGAACTGTGATTCCTTAATAACTGGATGCTATTGTGTTTAAAGAATGGCATATGTCAGCAAGAGTCCTTGACCCATGTATGTCCCAAACTGTAGTCAATTTATTTTTGCTATTTGTAGAATATGTGAAGGCCATTAACAGCTCTTGTGAGCTCAAGTAAAATTTCAACATTTTGAGCAGGAAGAGCTGGAGACCATCCATTTCACTCCACCTACCATCTATAATAATAAAAGCATAATATGCTAATTAGATCTGATTGCTCAATGACCTTCCAGGTGAAGCTGGGATTATGAGGGCCAAGGCAGCTGCTGCAACTGCAAGGATCGAGACCCTTGCACAAATTTCATTCATCAGACCACTAATTCCATATAATCTATATATATAAAAGCCTAAGTGACCACTCCACCATTCAACCAGTAGCTATGATGCACACTGACCACCAAGGCGCAAACACTCAACACACAGGTATGGAAACATGGAACAGACTGATGAATCTCAAAGGGAAAGGGGAAGAGGAGGGCAGGAAGAGATTAATCAAAGATCTTATATGCATACTAGAGGCCTGGTGCACAGATTTGTGCACCGATGGGGTCCCTCAGCCTGGCCTGCGGGAATTGGGCTGAAACCAACAGTCTGACATTCTCCAAGGGGTCCCGTATTGCAAGAGGGCACAGGCCAGGCCGAGCAATACCACCAGTACACGAATCCATACACCAGGCCTCTAGTCCTATATAATAAAAGGCTAATATGCAAATAGACCAAATGGCAGAACAACCAAACAATAAGTCACTCTGATGTGTACTGACATCAGAGGGTGTGTGTGGAACATGGCAGGCGTTGGCTGCGGCAGGACGGTACAGCAGGTGAGCAGGGGCGCCAGACCAAGGCGGGGCGCTGATCGCTGTAATCAGGGCAAGCCTCTGGTGGTTACTGAAAATTATTTGCTTCCACACACCACATTCCCACCTGGCACTTGCACTTGCTGCTGGTGCTGGCCCTGCTCACACCCAGTGCCGGCTTTCAATGCTAGTCCTGATCACTAGGCACCATCAGTGGGTGTGACCGGCATCTGTGGGCCCCAATTGCCCCTAGGGCTTCTCCACTTCCCCCTGCTCCTGCGGGGAGATAGGGACCAACAGCCACTGCTTGCACCTGCTGCCAGTGATGGCCCCGCTCACACTTGCTACCGGTGCTGGAGCCACTGATCACACCCACTGCTGGTGCCTGGCGAAAGTCCCAATCACTTAGCGCCATCAGCAGGTATGAACAGCAGCTGCCAGCCCAATCGCCCTTGAGGGCTTCTCCATCTCCCCTGCTCCTGAGGAGCAGCAGCCACCACTTGCACCCACTGCTGACACCTCACATCTGTGCCTTCAGCGGGTGTGAGTGTGGCCATCACAGTCAGCACATGGGAGTGGCAGCAGCGGGATTAGGGCTGCAGGCAGACAGGGGATCAGGAGCCATGGCAGGAGAAGCCAGATGGGGGAATAGAGAATGGGCTAAGACCCATTTCTGTGCTCACCACAGCCTCAGGGTCCACAGTTCCTTCCAAGGTGCATGAAATCTTGCACTGGGTCTCTACTTTTAAAATAAGAAAATAGGAGAAAGAAATCCATCTGCTCCCCAGAATCCCTGCAACCTTCCCCACTGTCCCAGAGATAGTGCAGTTTATCATATGAAGCATTGTATCGGGTAATAATTAATGTCGTTTTTAAACATTCGTTTAAAATCTTGCTTGGCGTTGACTTGTATTGACATAACCTTCAAACACGTGGTATCTACAGAACGTGTGAAGTGCAATTAACAAGTTTTGCTTGAAAAAGTTTGTGTTTGGTTTGGTTTTTGTTGCAAAACTAGGGCTAAGAAGATGGCAGATGAAGAGCATATTCGGCACTGCATGCTTTACGAGTTCCAATTAGGAAGAAAAGCAAGTGAGGCTGCAAAAAACATCTGTAGTGCTCTTGGTCAAGATGCAGTTAGCGCCAGAAAATGCCAGCAGTTGGTTTGAGAAATTTCGCGAGGGAAATTTTTCGTTAGATGACAAGAGTGGTTGAGGCCGTGTGTCCAATTTTGATCAAGAAGCTCTTCAAGCTCTTTTGGTGCAAAATCCTCAAATTACCCAACAAGAGCTTGTGACAACTTTAAATTGTTCACAAAAAACAATTTCCAATCAATTGCGTGCACTTGGCAAAGTCCAAAAGTTTGGAAAATGGGTTTCTCATGAGTTGACCGACAACAACCGTAATCAAAGAGTCACAATTTGCAGTTCGCTCCTCTCTCGTCAAAACCGTTTGCCGTTTTTAGAGCAAATTGTTACCGGAGATGAAGAATGGGTGCTGTATGTTAATTTGAAAAGGCGGCCTCAATGGTTGGACAAAAATGAGTCTCTGCAGCCCACACCAAAACCTGACTTGCATGCAAAAAAAGTGATGTTGTGTGTTTGGTGGAATTTTAAAGGAATTCTTCATTATGAACTTTTACCATCTAACCAAACCATTACAAGTGCAGTGTATAGTGCCCAATTGGAAAGGTTAGCCCAAGCTTTTTTTTTTTTTTTTTTTTTTTTTTTTTTTTTTTTTTTAAATTTATTTATTTATTTATTTTTTTACATATTTTAATGATTTTTTATTTGCCCCCCTCCCTCCCTCCCCCATAGCCCCTCCCTCCCCATAGTTTTATGTCCATTGGTTGTACTTATATGCATGTATACAAGTCCTTCGGTTGATCTATTATCTCCCCCAGATCCTCCTCCCCTCCCCGCTGTAATTTGACAATCTGCTTGTTGCTTTACTGTCTCTATATCTATCTTTTGGTTCATCAGTTTATAATGCTCTTTATTATCCACAAATGAGTGAGGTCATGTGGTGTTTCTCTTTCATTGATTGGCTTATTTCACTCAGCATGATGTTCTCCAATTCCATCCAGGTTGCTGCAAATGATGAGAATTCCTTCTTCTTTATGGCAGCATAGTATTCCATTGTGTAGATGTACCATAGTTTTTTGATCCAATCATCTGCTGACGAGGTTAGCCCAAGCTTTAAGAGAAAAAGAACCCGCGCTGATTAATCGGAAGAGCGTAATTTTTCACCAGATAACGCACGACCGCATACTGCAAGAATCACTGCTGAAAAACTGCGCCAGTTGGAATGGGAAGTTCTCCCTCAACCTGCATATTCTCCTGATATTGCCCCTTCCGATTACCATTTGTTTCGTTCTTTGCAAAACTTTCTTCTTGGAAAAAAATTTAATAATGAAGAATGCCTCAAAAATGCATTGACCGAATTTTTTGCATCAAAATTACAAGAATTTTACAACAGAGGGATTAAAATGCTTCCTGAGCATTGGGCACAAGTAGTAGAAAACAACGGCAACTATATTGTTGATTAAATTTTGTTGTATTGTTTAAATAAATTCGATTTAAAAAAGTATTAGAAAACGACATTAATTATTACTAGACCTAATAGATGGGAGCAAGTATTATACTCATTCATGTCCTAGTAAACCAAGTGCTATAAGTAGCACTGTTTATAATCATTTCCACCTTACCCCAGGATATTGATGGGATGGTGAAGTCACTTACCCAAGACCAGAGAGAAAGTTTGAGACAGACCCAGGAATGGAACCCAGGTTTCCTTCTACACATCCATGGTTATCATAGTACTGTCCTATGTTGCTGCAACTTTCAATCTTTCTACCCACTGATTAAATTTGTGACAACTATGACTACTCCTGTTGAGGTCATCTTTACTTCTTATTTTAATACTTCTATTCACAGCAGTTGCTGATAATTATAGATATTTCTATTTTAATGTATTGGAGAGGGAGGAGTATACCAGCTTAGAATAGGGCTTTTTCAAAATAATTCTGATTAAAAGGCAATAGCCACAGTACATCAGACATTACATAGATCTAGGTTCAGATCCTGATTCTACCATTAACTAGTGCCTTAAATATGGATTTCAATCTCACTCCAGTTTTGTTTTTTGTTGTTGTTTTTTTTCAGCTTAAACGCAGAACTGATTATCTCCATCTCAAATTATGAGGATTAAATAAAATAATGTACCATATTAAGACATTTAGTATATGCTGCCACATGGAAATGTATAGTGTAGTAAAGTCCATTCAGTTACCATAAAGTAGGTGAAAGGTAACAA